CCAACCTCCACCTGCGGACAAACCACATCTACGTCTCGTCGGATGACATCAAGGAGACAGGCTACACTTACATCCTTCCCAAGAATGTTCTGAAAAAGTTCATCTGCATATCGGACCTGCGTGCTCAGGTGCGCTGGCCGGTGGTGGTGAAGGCAGGGGTGGTGGTGGTTGAGGGAGTAACTGACTTGGGCCCTGGGGGGGGGAGTCTTTGCTCTCTCTCTCTGTGCCCCATGGCTCTTTTCGTCTCCTCCCAACTAACTGGCTGGCTGCGTTCTTGCCCACATTCTGTTCCCCTCCTGATCTCACTGATACCCGCTGCCAGTATTATTCCTCAGCAAAAATGTTTTAAATGCTAGGAATTTTCCCTTTGGGGATAGGGAGGAGTCCAGCATAACACAGTGTCAGCCAGTAAAATTGTGTGTGACAAAGACAAATAGTTAATTAGAGAGGGAGGGAGGCTTTATAACTAGGCCAGAAGTTGGTCATAAAATTGACATAACTTTCAGTTCTCTTTTCCTCATGAAAACTAACACTCCAGAACATCACGGCACGGCTCTGATGTTTTTGTCATATACTGTGAAGCTTTGCTGCCCCCTGAATTCCAGCTCAACCTTCTCTACCCCTTGGGTCTTCTTGCTGTCATTGTGGGGATCATCTGCAGGCCTCCGGATGATGCTGGACTCCAACTCCCAGCAGCCAGCAAGGCCAGGGACCAGGGGTGATGATGATGATGATGATGATGGGAGTTGTAGGTCAGCAACCACTGGAGGGCCAGTCATTCCCTCGCCTGTTTCACTGGATCTGATTTTTTCCCTGCGTGTGCCTTGAAACCTCGTTCCCTTCCTGTCCACTGACCTATTTCATCCGACTTGGTTCTGTGGGGCTTCCTGGGCCTTTTGCCTCCTGGGGGCTGCTTTGCCAAAGCCTCTCACTGAGGCTGGTGTGCCTTTTCTTTTTTTCCCCTCCCAGATTGCAGGATACTTGTATGGGGTGAGCCCCCCAGACAACCCCCAGGTGAAGGAGATCCGGTGCATCGTGATGGTGCCTCAGTGGGGCACTCACCAGACCGTCCACCTTCCTGGCCAGCTGCCCCAACACGAGTATCTCAAGGTGCGTCTGGCCTGGGCACCCCAAACGTGGCAGGGGAGGCAGCTCTGGGTGTCTTGGTGATGGGCCTTTATCTTGTGCCTCTGGGGGAGGAAGTCAGGAGTGGTTAATGCAGCAGCAACACAGTTCTATCCTTGAATTTTTGAATCATTCCAAGGTGATTTAGGAACATGACTAAATAATAAGGTCTGTGGTCTTTGTTTAGAAAACACAGACCTTGGGTGTTAGTCGCATCCCAGCAGAGATTTGCTGCTCCTTCTTGCTTTGTGCTGCTTCTGGTCACCCACCAGTGGGCTGGAGGGGGCAGAGGAACAACAGAGCCCCACGGCAGGGCACAGCGGCTTGGGCCTGCCTGTGTTCCTTGTGGAGATGTCTGCCTCACTCTGTCCGTTAGCCAGCGGCGCCCCACCCCACCCCCTTTGGGAAGCCTCCCCCTGCCGTCAGCCCTGGAAGGAGTCAGCGATGACTTTCTCTCAATTTTTCAGGAGATGGAGCCCCTGGGGTGGATCCACACGCAGCCGAATGAGTCGCCCCAGCTCTCCCCACAGGACGTCACAACCCATGCCAAAGTCATGGCCGAGAACCCCTCTTGGGATGGCGAAAAGACCATCATCATCACCTGCAGGTGAGTCCCAGAAGCAGGAGAGGCTGAGGGCCCTGCTTGGAGGCTGGAGCAATCACTATCGCACCTGGACAGTGTGCTTGGGCGCTGGGCGTCTTGGATCCCCTTGGAGGGCACAGGTGGGAACTGGGCTCTGCTGAGGAGGAGGGCGGAACAGAACTTGCCCTGTTCCTTGTCTTCACCCCGGGTTTCTCCCCTGCCCAGCTTCACCCCCGGCTCCTGCACCTTGACGGCCTACAAGCTGACCCCCAGCGGCTACGAGTGGGGCAGGCAGAACACCGACAAAGGGAACAACCCCAAGGGCTACCTTCCCTCTCACTACGAGAGGGTGCAGATGCTGCTCTCCGACCGCTTCTTGGGCTTCTTCATGGTCCCAGCGCAAGGCTCTTGGAACTACAACTTCATGGGTGAGTTGAGGCGGAGGGGTTTCTGCTGCGATGGCCCATCCCATAATGAGCCTCTTCCTCTTCTCTCCAGGCTGATGGGCCTGTGACCTAGAAGCAGCTCTTCCTGCTTAGCCTTCTCTCCGGTCAAGACCCGCCTCCTTCCCTCCCCAGGATCTTTCCCCCCAGACTGATCCAGTCCCCTTAAGCTTTTGTGTCGCCCGCAGCTTGTTCTGGTGGCAGAGATGAGGCTGCTGAGCAAACCAGCCAGCTGTTCCCACCACCCCACCTGCGCCTTCGCTTCCTGCCAGGCAGGATGTAGCCGTTCTGCTCAGAAAGGAAATGGAGGGGAGGAGGGCAGCCTTACTTCTGCCCTTCCTGCTAAGCAGCAGAATCAGCCTAGGCCAGGGATTGGGGGCGGGGGCAAGAGATCTTTGGCACTTGATATGTTGTTGGACTCCCTGCTCCGACCAGCCCTGGCTGCTGGGAGTCCATAAAGCACCTGGAGACGCCACAGAACTCCCCATGTCGGCCTAGCCTCAGCCCCGCCTTGATGTTTTCTCACCATCCATTCCTGGCACCAAAGCAGGAGCCATTGAAGCTGGTAAAAGGAAGGACTTCTTCATGCAGCGCAGACTGTGGAACTCACCCCCACAGGAGGCATGGATCGCCACCCACTTGGATGGCTTTAAAAGAGGAGAGGGCAATCGAGGAAGTGGGGGGCAGGGGCTATCGATGGCCACGAAGCCACAGTGGCTATTCTCTGCCTCCAGACACCAGTTGCTAGAAACCCCAGGAGGGGGGGAGAGTTGCTCTTGTGTTCGAATCCTTCTTGCTGGCTTCCAACAGGGGCATCTGGGTGGCCCCTGCGAGAAGAGGAGGCTGGACCAGATGGGACTGATGGCGGTGTTTGTGTCCCCCCCCCCTTTGCAGGTGTCCGTCACGATCCCAACATGAAGTACGAGCTGCAGTTGGCGAACCCCAAAGAGTTCTACCACGAGGTCCACCGCCCCTCTCACTTCCTCAACTTCGCCCTCCTGCAGGAAGGGGAGGTGTACTCTGCTGACCGAGAGGACCTCTACTCCTAGGCCCAGGGTGGCCGAGGGCACCAGAGGCTCGCTGGCCAAGACTGAGAACTGTTGACATTCAACAGTGCCTGCCATGTTTTACCTTCTCCCCTTTCTCACCTGCCCAGTTAATGTTCAGCATCTCCCTCCCCCGCCCCTTTTAAGGTTTCCGAGTCAAGTCACTTTACAACACTTGTGTAAAGTGTGTGTATTGGTTGGTATGTGTGTGTGTGTGTATAGTGCCTGCTTCTGAGTGTAGTTCCACGGTTGTTTAATAAAAATTTTGTATAAATGGGAGCTTTGTGTGGTCTCTCTCAGCAGGTGGGGAACAGCAGAGGGTGTTGTTAATTACATTTGTATTCTGCCCTATACACGGAGACCTCAGAACAGTTCACAACATACTAATTACAATATAAAAACACAAATACATAATAAAAACAATGACAGCTCAATAGCCTTCCTGCTTCCACAAGGGGGTTGGCAGAAATGTAAGTCACATCCCATTGCCAGAAAAGTTTTCAAGGAGGTTAAATTTTGCCCTCCAAGCCGGGGAAGCCCTAATTTCTGTGATGGTGTTACATGCAGGAGGCCCCAAAGTCAGTCTCTCCCAGTGGCATGTCTTGGTAGTGCTTTGAGAGACCGTCCCTCTGGCCCACCTGAAACCCTCAAGAGCCACTGCCAGCCAGTGTTGGCAGTACTGAGCCAAGTCGCTCAAGGACTGGTTCCTTATAAGGCAGCTTCCTAGGCTCAGATACGGAGTGGCCCAGGCTCAGCATTGGGGCTCTGGTAGGCAGAAGGTTCAATCCCCAACAGCAACTCCACTTAAAAGCCTCCCGCTGATACGAAAGACTCCTCTAGAGAGCTGCTTTCAGTCGGAGCATTTTGAACAGGGTTAGATGGTCGAAGAGTGCTGCTGCCACACAGAAACTTCTTGTAGGTCCTCTGCTCAGGGCTGCCAATAAGTCACCTGCTGCCCGGACCCTCCCCTGGGCAATGAAACTGGCCGCAAGCCAAGACTCTAAGGCAGCCGCTGCCACAAGTTTCTGGAAGCTGCAATCAGGAATAATGTGGCTGTTGGGCTGAGTCCTGCTTGCAAGCTTCCCTTTGGGGAGTCTGGCAGCTGTGGGAAACGGGACACTGGGTGAGGGAGGTGGGCCTCATCCAGGCTTTTTGCCTTCTGAGACACTGGCCTCCTACCCTTAACTGCCACCGGTTGGGCTAGGACAAGCTTGCCAGGAAATCCCCAGCAGTGCAGTGCAATGGTGTTAGAGTGTCAGGCGAGGGCATTGGAAACCCCTGCTGAGCCGTCAAGTTCACGGGGTAACCTTGAGCAGGTCGCCGCTTGTCGTGAGAATAAAGGGGATGGGGGGCCCCCTTCAACTCCTCGGAGGGAAAGTTTGCGGACTGACGCAAGAACGATCAACTAGAGAGGCAGCCCATGGGATTTCTGCCGCCTGCGCTTCCCTTTCAAGGGGCACAAACGGACGGCGTTCTTTTGGCACCACCAGAAAGATCCTCCCCGCGCTGCTTTTCCCTCGAAGGAAAAAGCCCCCCCCCCGCCGAAGCAGCCCCCCTGGGTGCTCCTCCCTCCCTCGGCTCAGCAGGGAGTCCCGGGGACCCAGCTGCGTCACTGCCGCCGTCACAGTAGCCCAAAGTCCGCTGGCAGGTCCCGGGCCAGCCAGGCCGCCTTGGCCCGCCGCTCTCTGCGCTCCCGAGTCGCCCCGGCCGAGAGGCGGGCAGGAGGCGGAGCGGCGCGGCGCCTCCCCGTTGGCCGCGGCTGCCCCGGAGAGGAGGCGAGGCGCGCGGCGGCGGTGGCTGGGAGTCCGGAGACGGCGCCCCCGCTGCTCGCTGGCTCCATGGAGTCTCCACCGGAGCGGAGGGCGCCTGGGCCGGTGGCCGCCGCCGAGCCCGTGTACCGGCTGGCGGGGGCGCTGGGCTCGGAGCTGCAGCGGCTGTCGGGCCTCTTCGGGCCGGGCGCCGTGGCCGGGCTGGTGCCGCAGGTGGTGCGTCTGCTGGAGCTCCTCGAGGCGCTGGCTTGCCGCGGGCCGGAGCGGGACGAGGGGCCGGGCCGGGGCCGGCAGCTGCAGGAGGCCGGCGAGCCCTCGCCGGGCCCGACGCGGGACTTGGCGCAGGTGGGCGGCGAGGCCGAGGGGGCTCTCTGCACGCGCTCAGAGGCCCGGCGGACGGGCGCGCTCGAGGGCTGAATCCTGGCACTGTCCGAGGGGAAACGGGAGGGAGGGAGGGAGCGTAGCTGGGCGCCAAAGCGCACCTTGGGGAGGCCGGGGGGGGGGGCGCCGGCTGGGAATAGCCAACCTTCCCTAGACCCTCCTGCGCTGGGTGCACCAGCGGGCAGACTCCGTCTAAAAAGGCACCTTTGGGTGTTCCTTGGGGGCCCCTGCCCCCTCCCTTCCCAGGTCGGTTCAGCAGCTGTGTGCAGGACTTTCCACGTGGGCCTCTCTGTGTGCGCCCAGTTTTAGATCCTCACAAGGCCAAGGCTGGTTTTGTGCCCCTGGGAAGCAGGGAGGGGGGCGATTGCTAGGTCCCAGCTGCCTCCTTGTCCTCTGCCTGAAGTGGCTCTGCCTGAGTCCAGTTGCCAAGAGGTTTCCTAATAGGACAACCTTTGCCAACCTGCCGGCTGGCAGTGCCTGATGGGAGGTGCAGTTCGAAATGTCTAGAGGGCTGCCCTCAGCCCCCAGGATGAGCTGCTGTGAGCTTTTGCCTCCATCTCTCCACACGTGCCCCTGAGCCTTCCCTGGTCCATCTTCCTCTCCCTCCTCTCCCTCAGGCTCTGGAGCTGCGGCTGGCTGAGGCCCAGGAGAGAGCGTGCCTCCTGCAGAGCCGCCTGGCCCAAGCTGAAGCAGAGAACCAGCGCCTCTTGGCCCAGCTGGCCGGCACCCAGTCCCAGGAAGGTGAGGTGCAAGGGAGGCGGGATTGGGGGGACGGACTGCACCAGCCGCTCTCAGGTGCCTTAGGAGGCCCTTGGACTGGCATGTGGGGTTGTTGTGCCTGGCCTGGGGGAATCTCCCAGGGTGGGGCAGAAACTCGCCTGCCTCGTGACTGGTGTAAATGCAACCCACGTGGCTGTGGGAGACGTGCTGCCAGCTGGTTAATGACTTGCTGCGTGCTGCCTGCCCGGGAGCGCCCAAGACCTTGTCCTCTTTAAGGGCTTCCTCGTGTGCACCTTGTTTCTCTTTTGCTTTCTGCTCCTTTGGCTTGCCAGGGCGTGGAGGAAGCCAGAGCGAGGAGACAGGCTGGAGGGGCCTCCCTGAGCAAGAGTGCAAGCAACTCTAGTGCAAATAACTGGGCAGGTCACATTCACAGGTTGCAGACGATGGAGAGATCTGGTTTTTCCTCTCCTGCACTGCAGGAGGTTGGACTAGATGACCCCTGGGGTGCTTTCCACCTTTATGATTCTGTGATTCTAGGAATGCCACACTTTCCTGTGACAAAGGGAGGCATTTCTTCAGCATTCAGTTGCATGTCTTACATGACGATTTCCTCCCTCCCTCCCTTAATCTGGCCTGCTTTACTTAATGTGTGAAATGCAGTTGTCTGAATGTTGTGGCCAGTCTGGCTGGCATCTGTCTGTCTTGAGACACAATGGAGGTTTGAGACCCGCTGACTGCCCTCACCTGCTTTAGCCGGCCAGTTGTGGGCAGTAGTGTAGTGGTAAATTCAGAAGTGCAGGATCCTGTCATTATAATCATCGCCATGCCCCCTTCTATGATTATACAACATTCTAAGATAATGCAATAATCTTATAATTTGCAACCCTGGACCTCTACATCTCTGGGTGTGGGTGGCTATTGGCTAGTGCCTGTGACATTGCTAAGGAGGAACAGGACTTCTGACTCTTGTGCCTCACCACTCTTCTGAGTTTTTAAACTGTTGCTTTGGGTTTAGAACAAGGGAGGGGAATTTTAGGTCCAAGTGCCAAATGCAGCTGGCCAGGCCTTTGCCTCTGGCCCTCACCTGGCCTCATCCCCACTGTCCCCGAAGGAATGTCTCCTTGAGCTGTGACATCTCTCTTGCTTGACTGGTTGGAGAGGATGTGTTGATGTCTTTGCCCTGTGTGTGGCTGGAATGCAGCCCTGTACAAAGAAGTGGGAGTTGCATCTGTGTTGCTCCGCCCACTTTTGCTCCTGGCTCCGCCTACCACTGGCCTGTGGACCCTGGAAGCTTCTCTGTGAAGGAATGTGGCCCTCAGGCTGAAAAAGCTTCCTTTAGACTCAGAGGCTGGGCGCTCTCTCCCCTCCAGGTAAATGAGCCTGGAAGTCCCTGCAGGGAACTTGAAGCCAAGGCCCAGATGAGTGGGTGGGTGCAGAGGAGAGGAACAGGGCTGCCCCTCTTCACACAGTGGCGCTTCTGTCTTCTCCTTCGCAGCCTGCACTTTCTCCCTCCCTCCCTCTCTCCTTGCCTTGTTTTTGAAAAAGAGAAAACCCTTGACATTCAGCTGGTCCACAAAAAGGCGTTGGCTTGGCTGCTGCTGGATTGGGTGCTTTGAGCAGCAACTTGGGCTGTGTGTCAGTGCAGCAGGGAGAGTAGTTGTGCACTTGTTCAACCGCTTACCGTCCACGGTCCCCCCCAGTCCCCCAAGCAGTGCGGAGTTCAACAGGAGCAGCGTTCCCCCACACCCAGCTTCCTCTGGAAGGAGGTCAACGGAGGCTTAGGGTGTTTGGTAACAGCTGGATGGATCTACAAACAGGGCAGGTTTTGTAGTGATGGAGGCACAGTCTCAACACTCCGGCCTGCGGCCAAATCCACTGCCCTGCATTGCATCTCTGGGGAGAGGCAGGCACACTCCACCCCACAATGTTCTTATCAAGCAACTCAGTCCAGTTTTGTCCCTGCCCCCCCCCCAAGACCGAGGAGAAGGGAGATTCAGGGAACATTCAGGACAGGATGAAAGGACAGTGCAGAGTTACACTGTGGAACTCCTTCCCACAGGAGGCAGTGAGGACCAACCACCAACCTGAATGGTTTGAAAGAGGATTAGAAAAATCCATGGAGGAGGAGGAGGAAAGGGCTATTGACAGCTACTATGGCTCTACTCTGCCTCTGCAGGCAGAGAGAGTTGCTGGAAGCCACAGAAAGGGGCTCTTGTGCTCCAATCCTGATTGCAGGTTTCCCATTGGAAGCACCTGGTCAGCCACTGTGAGCACAGGAAGCTGGACTTTTATGGCCCCCTTTGGCCTGATGCAGGAGGATTTTCTGGTGTTCTTATCAAGCCCAAAGAGAGGCCGAGCCAAGTCCTTCCAGTTTTGTCCCCATCCTCCTTGTTGAGTCCTTCCAGACACGGAGACTGAGGATGGAGGGAGCTGACAGGCAAGACCAGGCCCTGGGCTGGTTGTTCAGTAGCTGGGTGGGGGGTGGATGGACGGGCCAGCTGAGGTTGATGGAGCTGCCTCCCTTGATGGCCTGACTTGGTCTAAGCGAGCTTCCTAGGATGACGGCAGGGACACCTGAAAGCCTCTGTGCCCTCATATGAACCTACCTGGGTTCTGAGATCTTTGGGGGAGGTCCTTTTCTCAGTCCCACCACCTTCACAGGGGCGCTTGGTGGGGGCGTGGGAGGGGACCTTCTTGGTGGTGGCTGCTCTTGGAGATCTACGCATGTTATCTGAGCGCAGGGAGAACTTGCACCGGCCAAAATTCTCCCTGGTATTAATTTTACAAACGGCCTGATTGCATTTTAACGGATATCTTTTATGTGATTTTAGCTTTTTGGATTTTATCTGTGTAGTTGTTTCCATTTGTGGAAGCCGCCTTGAGTCTGGGGAAGAGGTGGGATATACAACAACAACAACAATAATAAAATAATAATAATAATAATAATGCCATGGGCAAATGCCAGGTCAGGAAGTGTGTCTGGGGCTAGTGAAGGCAACCAAGGACCCTGTCAGAGCTTGGGGTGGTGGGTGCTGTGTCTGTCCACCCAGGGGCGCCACTCAGCTCTCTCGTCTTTGTCCAGAGAGCACCCAGCGCAGAGAGAAGGAGGTGATGCTGCGCCTCAAGGAGGTGGTGGACAAGCAGCGGGATGAGATCCGTGCCCAGGCCCACGAGATCCTCTGCAAGGCCCGGGACACCGAGGCGGTAAGGGGGCGTGAGGGTGGGCAGGCACAGGGGCTGGCCTGGAGGGGACCGGCAGGCGCTCAGCGCCATTCCTGCGGCACGTGAGAGCAGCGCTGTGTCCTGCATGTAAGGGCCCCTTTTCCCCTCCCCAGTGTGGGGCTGGCACTATGGGCCACGGCACCCTGGAGTTGGAAGGCACCCTGGGGTCATCTAGCCCAACCCCCGGCAACGCAGTGCCTGTGTCCCCAGCTGCAGGAGCAGCTGAACCGCTTCATGACGGTCAACGAGGAGATTCGCCGCAAGCTGGCCATCGTCCAGGCCCAGCTGAAGAGCGCCCTGCAGAGGAAGGAGGAGCTGGAGAGCGCCCTGCTGGAGGCCCGCCAAGAGGTGGAGAGGCTGAGCAAGGCTGCGGGGGCAGCACAAGAGGCCTTGAGGACTAGCGCCACGGTGAGAGGATGTAACCCAGAACTACATATTGACTTGCGAAAATACTGGCATGCCGCGGTTTACAGTAATAGCCTTGCATTGTGCCAGTCTGTGGCAGCCTGGTGCTCTCCATCAGCCCAGATGTCCAAAATATCTGGGTGGCACTAAGTTGGTGATGGCTGCGGGAGGGTGGACTGCGGGAGGCAGAAGGCCAGGCTAGTGGGATGGGGGTCCTGACCTCTCCCCACCTTCTCGCAGGACCAGGAGGTGGTGCCTGGTGAGGCGCTTCCTGGCAGCGGCCAGGGCAGGAGGTCCTACTCGAAGGAAGAGCTGCAGCAGATCCTGCAGGAGCGCAACGAGCTCAAGACCAGCCTGTTCCTGGTGCAAGAGGAGTTGGCCTATTACCAGCGGTCAGTTTATTCCTGCCTTTGCAGGGGGTTGGACTGGATGACCCCTTGGGTCCCTCCCAACTCTCCATGTCTATGATCCTATGTTGGGTGTAGGGAGGGGGAAGCCAGGTGGTCCTACTGGCCAGTTGCTCTTAGAGGACCAAATCCCTAAGCAGAGGGATGTGCAGTTTTAGCCAAGAGTTGGCTTCCTGTAAGTTAAGAAGTAAGGGACGTGGGTGGCACTGTGGGTTAAACCACAGAGCCTAGGACTTGCCGATCAGAAGGTTGGTGGTTCGAATCCCTGTGACGGGGTGAGCTCCTGTTGCTCGGTCCCTGCTCCTGCCAACCTAGCAGTTCGAAAGCACCTCAAAGTGCAAGTAGATAAATAGGTACCGCTCCGGTGGGAAGGTAAATGGCATTTCCATACGCTGCTCTGGTTTGCCAGAAGCGGCTTCGTCATGCTGGCCACATGACCTGGAAGCTGTACGCCGGCTCCCTTGGCCATTAAAGCGAGATGAGCGCCGCAACCCCAGAGTCAGCCACGATTGGACCTAATGGTCAGGGGTCCCTTTACCTTAAGTTAAGAAGTGGGGAACCTGTGGCCGTCCAGGTCTTGTGCAACCACAACTTCCTCCCGAGTTAAGTGGCTTCAAAGATGTAAGGATGGCCACTGATTTGGGTGCCTTTAAAAGAGGAGGAGCAGGAGAGGGCTATTGAAGGCTTCTAAACACCAGGGCTCTGTTCTCCCTCCAGGGCAGAGGCAGTCAATGTCTCTGGGGTACCAGTGGCTGGGAACCCAAAGTGGGGAGAGTGTTGTTGCCCTTGGGTCCTGCTGGCTGCTGGGCTCCCCATGGAGGCATCTGGTTGGCCACTGTGAGGAGAGGAGGCTGGGCTAGATGGACTCTCTTTGGCCCGATCCAGCTGCCGGGCTCTTCTTGACTCCCACCAACCCTGACTGCTGGCTGTGGGAGCTCAGGATCATCTGGAACAGCTGTTCTCAACCTGCGGGTCCCCAGATGTTGTTGGACTACAACTCCCATCATCCCCGTGCTCTGGCTTTGCTAGCTAGGGGTGATGGGAGTTGTAGTCCAACAACATCTGGGGACCCACAGGTGGAGAAAGGCTGATCTGGAAGGTCACAGGTGTTTGGAACGTTGTTAGATGCAGTAAAAATGACTCAAAGCGACTTACAAATTCGACAGGAATGCTAAACCAGTACAATCAATAATGTCAGTCATTGCAGATAGTAGCCATGGATGGCCTGAGACTCTGTGAACTTGTCTAATCCCCTTTTAAAGTCATCTAGGTTGGTGGCCATCACTGCCTCCTGCAGAAGGGAGTTCCACAGTTTCACAATGAGCCATGCAAAGCAGTCCTTCCTTTTCCCTGTCCCAAATCCTGTGCTCCCGAGCCCTGGAGATCCCTGGGTGGGAGGGAGGCGCAGGCCCTTCTGCCTCCCTTTGGTGAGAAGAGTCCCTTTCCTTCCTTCCAAGGCTCTCCTGAGATTCACCTGCCTCTCTTCACCCCCGCAGGGAGTTGCTGAATGATGAGCGGATTCCCAGCCTCCTCCTGGACGCCGTGAAATCCACCATCAAGAAGCAGCGCAGGAAGATCCGGGCCAAGATGCTGGGCACAGCAGAGGAGCCCCTGAGCAGGTGAGTCTCCCGCTGCCTCCGCCTGAGGAATACCTGCAGGGTCTGTCTGGCCCACCTGGGACTCTGGCAGGAAGAGCCAGTGGCTGAGGGAGCTCCTGGCACTGGGTCGCTGTGGATGCACTGGGACAGGCCTGGCTGGGAGTGACTTTTGGGGGCTGAGAATGTCTTGCTGAGCAGGGCAGTCTATCCTACACTTCCTCACAGATGGCTCACCTGTGGTCCTCCGGTTTCTGTTGAACTCCAACTCCCAGCAGCTCAATGGTCAGGGATGATGGGAGTTGTAGTCCAGCGTCAACCAGAGTAACACAAGCTCCCAGCCTCTGTGGTGATAACAACAAAACAACAACAACAACAATTTATTTATATCCCACCCTCCCCAGCCAAGACCAGGCTCAGGGAGGCTAACACCAAATATAAAAACAATTGATTGAAATACAGCTTAAAAAACAAGATTAAAATACAACTTTAAAACATTAAAATGCAGCCTCATTTCAGTGGAAACTCAATCAAAAACTTTTTTGGGGATAAAAACGTCAAGTCTTCACCAAGGCTAACTATCCAGACTGTTCCTACATGGGCCAGAAAAAAGCCAGGGAAGTCCCCAAATAGGAGTTCCAACACAGAAGGAGAAAGGCAAAAATAAAGAGGGGAAGGGAATCAAATTGGTACACATTATTATTGTCGTCAATTAAATTTATATCCCACCCTTCTTTAAAAAACAACCCCGTTGCCCCGGCTGAAAGCAGGAGGCGCCTGGGTCACGCTGGGCACGCTGGTGGTCCTTCTGCTGGTTTCACTGAAATGCAGAGTTGGGAGGGGACCCAAGGGGTCATCTAGCCCAACCCCCTTTAGTGCAGGAATCGGTTGTGCTCAGGCAACAGAGTGCTTCTTCAACCTGCTTTGGCTGTGCAAACCTCCAGTTCCAGTTTGTGCTCGGACCCCACTGGCAAAAGACCTGACGGCCTGACCTTTCTCTTCCCAGCGACGAAGAGGAGGAGGGCGTGTGGCTGGCGTCCCCCACGGGCTCGGACTGCGTGGACGGCCGCCTCCCTGAGTCCAAGATCCGGAGCTTGTAAGTGGAGCCCCCTTGGCAGAGGGGTGGCTGCTTTGGCTGGAGTGAGAGGTAGGGGCACCCGTCTCCGGAAGAGCAGCCGGGCAGCAGGACAGCTTGCACACGGAGAGCAAACCGGCCCCAGCCAGTCCAAGCCTGCAGAGCCTTCAGGAGGAGGACCAGGAGGAGAGCCGCTGGGCGGCAGATGGCGATCTTAAATTCAGAATTAAACAGGTTTAATTTGAAGGCAGCCTCCAGTTTAATCAGCCTGAGTGGTGCAGGATCACAGCGGCTGGAGAGGAGGCAGGAGCCTGCAAAGGATAGCTTTGCATTTACAAACCTGTCAAGCCTGGTGCCTTCCAGATGTTTTGGACCCCCAGCTGTGGGGCTATGCTGCCTGGTAGATGCAGCCCAAAACATCTGGAGGGGATCTGGTTAGGGAAAGCTGTTCTGAGTTCTCAGGGATGGCTTAATCATGCTACAACCTTAGCAGTTTTATACCTGCTTTTTTTAAAAAAAGATTATTTTTATATCCCACATTTATCCTCCTATATATGCTCCCGGGAGCACAGTGAGGAATGCATGGTTCTCCGCTCCCCTTTGATTCCCACAGTAACCCTGGAGGGTGAGGCTCTCGGTGGCTGCTGGTCGTAATGGGCAGCACAAGCAGTCAGTGCCTCTGAATACCAGTGGCTGGGAATTGCAAGCAGGGAGAGTAGCTGTTGTCTTCAGGTCCAGCTTGCAAGCAGAGGAGGCCGGACTAGTTGGGTGCCCTCTGGCCTCACCCGGCTGCTGTGGGGCTGCTGGGATGGTTCTTAGGGGGTGAGAGGCGTCCTCCTTCCCATATGACCTCAGCTGGGGGAATGGGCTGGACACCCAGCATTTCTGCCTCCAAACTCTCACCCAACCAATCAGTCTATTATTTATACCATGTTTCTTTTTCTGCATGAGAACTTGGAGTGGTTTCACAGCATCAAAATAGAAATTAACATGTGCAACAAAGCACACAAAAAAACCCACAAAATTTCAGCCAGCAATCACAAACTCTAATAATCCAGTAAATGGTAGCAGTGAAATCAAATCGAAGATGCAAAAACTCCCCTCAAAAGTTCTGGTTCTTCTGTGGGGCATTTCTCGACCTCTGCCAAACTCCACTTCTCTTTCTCTTTCACATTCTTCTCTCTCTCTCTGCCTGCAGTTTTGGCCTCTGGTACCGCGGGAGGAGCAAAAGCAGCTTGCCAGAAGACTGCCCTGGAGCCTGGGAGATAGTTGACCCTCAAGATGTGGGTCCTGAGGAGGAGGAGGAGCAGGGAGGGAGGGAGGCCTCCTGCAGCTTCAGCCCCCCAAGTGGACCCTCGCCCTTCCCTTGAGCCAGACGCTGCTGGCTGAACCCACAAGAGCGCCCTGTCCGGGCTGACCCCACAAAGACGGCAGGCTCACAGAGGCCGCTGCCTGGCCTGCGGGAACAGCTCCAGCCTTGGAGAGGAGGGAGGCAGCCTTGCAGAAGGCTCCTCTCGTGGGACTCTGCAGAGTCCTGCTTGAACCCAGGCCCGCAGCACAGCCGCTCGGAGGTGTCTCTGGCCGTCTTCTGCTGGTGCGGAGGGGAGAGGCGCAGAGGTTTTTATTCCTGCATAGTGTGCTCTGCTTGGCAGGGGAAGCATGCTCCCCGTTTTGAAAAGATGTGTGTGTGCACTGATATAGCTGACTTGCAGAGCTGGGGGAACGTGAAGCTGCTTTTCCCGTCAGCTTTGCTGGGGGGCTGATTTCGCCTGGGCTCCTTCAAGGACTTTTCAGTGTGTCTTCCCCGTTGCCCCCCCCCACACCGCCACTGATGTGTGAACGGCAGGCGGAAGCGCTGCTTTGAACACCCTTGAACCTGGAATCTCATGTAGGAAAGAACCATGCCTCAAAATCTTCCTGACTCCGTGAAGCACAGTTTGAAACCTAAAGCACTTTCCTCCCTATAATTTGCACACGTTTGGGGAATGTGATTTGTTTTTGTGAGAGATGTGTTTATATTGCACAGGAAGATCCCCAAGGTAGTTAACAAACATTGCAATTAAAATGTCAACCTTTGAAAGCGACTAAAGCAGGAGCCAGCAAAAGACTGAGACGTGCGGGGGGGGGGGGGGGGAGTGGGGCCGCATCGTCCCGTTAAAGGTCAGGAGAATCCCATGGTGTCGTTCCAGCACTGAGAAACTATTAAATCTGTGCCAGCCCCAATGGGGGGATTTATTCTTGGCCAACTGGGGTGCCACCTGCACCCCCAGAAAAAAGGGCCTGCTCCTCTCCATTTGCCACCCAAAGCCTGCCCTCTGACCCAAATCTGAATGAAGGGGACGGAGGTACAAAGGGTGATAACCCGGAGGTGGGCCGGAAGTCCGTGCAGATATTTTTACAAGGGGTGACCTCGGTTTTCGATTAGTCAAGAAACTGGTCTATGCATTAGGAATGGGCAATGATTGGCCCTCAGAGTTTGTGGTGGTGGTGGTGGCTGCCAGGGGTAGCGACCCCTGAGCTGTGGGGCTCCCTCCCAGCAGAGGTGCGCTTGGCACCTTCCCTGGACAGGGCGGCAGGTGCCTTTCTTCACCCTTGGATTCTTTGGACATTTTGGAGATGTATATTTTTAGGACCCACCTTATTTCTGTGATGGAAAGTTGTTTTAAACTGTATTTTTAAATATATAAATATATATTGTGTTTTAATTGTTGCAGCCTGCTTTGGGACCTTAGGATGATGGGCGGGTCAATTAATTAATTAATTAATTAATTAATTAATTAATTGCATCATATAGGAAGCTGCCTTAGACTACATCTAGCTCAGTCCATTGGTGAAATGCAGAAGATGAGTGAAGGGCTGGTGGGGGCATTGCAGAAAGTGTGTGTGTGTTTTTTTTGGGGGGGGGGTCCTCACACTGTCTCCAAGATTCCCTCCAAATTTAGGGCCCCTCCAAATGACTTATTTATAGAGTGTCCTTTCTGATTTCCTTGCCCCAAACTTATATGGAGAACGCATTCTGCCTACTCTTTATTTAACCATTAGAATCATTTCATTGTAGAGTTGGAAGGGACCCAAAAGGTCCTCAATTCCCGCTCCCTGCAGTGCAGGAATTGCAGCTGAATTCTGATTAATTAATTCTGATTTGTTTGTGGGGCGGGGATTCGACAGTGAGCCTCCCTCCTGATCTGCCCGGCGGGTATCGCCTGTTAATCATTTGTTCATCCCACATCATGATTCTCTATTGATTTCCTAATTGCAAGAAGTCAATTTAAACAACAGCAAAAGTGTCAGCTGCAGCAGAGTGCTTTCATACCTGGTAATTGTGTAAACCTGCCTTTGTGCTTTGATCTGCCTCACGAAATACTGACCGTCTGGAGGGAAACCCTCGTTGCAAGGGAGTGTGTGCGTGGCTGCAATGCCTTCTCTTGACCAATCTAATGTTACCTATTAATGGTGGCACAACACACCTTACCAAAGCAGGGTAAGGTTGCCGAGTGATTATGAAACCAGCTGTGAAATGCATGTGTTTTTGGCTTTGTGCATACAATAAAACCAATTAAGTTTGACAGCTGCTGCTAGTTGAATCAATGAGTGTGGAGCAGAACATCGCAGCATTCGTGGATTGCTATCGCTGGCCGTTTGCCCTTTTTCTAAGAAAGTCTGGGATTTGAGAGCAGCTTCAACCATTCGTAGAATAAGCACATCACACCATTCTCCTGGAGCCCACCTCTGACTCCCTTCAGAAGGATTCGGGACTTCCGAAGAGAACTAAACTTCCCCAAGACTAGAGGCATCCTGTATCTTAAAACAAGATTAAAGTCAATTTTCTAAGCTGAATTCTACAGTGGGGCTCCAAACCCGCAGGTAGTTTGCGCAGTACAACACACAGAATCCGGAGTCTTAGAGCCTTCTGCCATTCTTGCACACTTAACCCTTCCATCCTAAGTCCCTGCGGGTCCTTTTAGATTCATTGCTGCTGCTTGAGACTCAGGTAGCCTTGGTGGTGAGGAATGCCTTCCATCAGCTTCGACTGGTGGCCCAGCGGTGCCCCTATTTGGACAGGGACAGACTAACTTCTGTGGTCTGTGCTCTGGTATCCTCTAGGTTAGAATGCTGCACCTCATTATACATGCGGCTGCCTCTGAAAATGGCTTGGAGACTTTGGCTGGTGCAGAATTCAACGGCTAGGTTGCAAGAGGGTTTGGGCATACGGTGCCAAACCTGGCCCGACTGCATTGGCTGCCAACCAGTTTCCTTTTTTTAAAAAAAATATTTATTAAGAGTTTAACAATTACAAAAAAAGAGAAGAAAAGACAATAAAGAGTTACAATACAACAAAAAATAAAAAGCACAATAAAAAAACAATACAGCCCAACAATAAAAAAGCATTTAAGAACAAAAACATTTAAAAACACGTCCAGTATTTTCATATCTTTGTCTTTCATTTACTTGTTTCATTGACCTCCTCACACCTCCCTTTTTTGTATTCTAATTCAATTTAGCTATTTCAGCAGATCCTTTCCATCTTTCTTAATTTTTGTTCTATAATTTACCTTAACTCAATCTGACCTTAAATTTTACACTTTGGCCCATTAGCAATCCATTTTTACTTAATTCTTTATAACATTTCTGCTAAAACCATGTAACTTCATTCCAGCATCCTTCTAACATTCATTAATTTTACTATATTTTTGTAAATATGCTTTAAATTTTTTCCAATCTTCTTCCACCGACTCTTCTCCCTGGTCTCGGATTCTGCCAGTCATTTCTGCCAGTTCCATGTAGTCCATCAGTTTCATCTGCCATTCCTGCCTGGTGGGTGGCTGCCAACCAGTTTCCAGGCCCAATTCAAAGCACTGCTTTTGAGCTATAAAGCCCTCAGGACCACAATACTGTACCTCAAGGACCGCCTTTCCCTGTAAGAAGCAATCCAGACGCTGCTATCACCATCTGAGGCCCTATATGTGCCACCTCTGCGAGAGGTCGGGGGGGGGGGCTCCCCACTTGTGGGATGCTCTCCCCAGGGAGGTTCACCTGGTGCCTTCCTTACAGACCTTCAGGTGCCCAGTGGAAACATTCCTCTTCTTCCCAGGCCTTTGACTGATTAAACAACCTATGAAACTGTGTGCTGGGGTGCATTTTTGAGTTTTTCTATTGTAAACTGCCCTGCGATCTTCGGATGAAGAGTGGTATAGAAATTTAATAAACAAATGCATGAAATAAAAGAAACCCAAACACCTACAATTCACAGACTTTCCTGGAAAGAGGTGTTGATGATGGGTGGGCCAGATTTAGCTCTGCAACGCAGAAAAGCCTGGGACGCAGACTCCGGCCGGACACGAGTCCTCAAGCAGCAAAGGTGGCGGCGACAGGGGGACTGTCTCTGCGCAAAGCATCCATCAGAGCAGGAAAAAGGTGTTTCCTGTTAATCTGCTGACACGAAGCTCTGCTAAAGGCGAGGGAGCGAACAGGAAAGACCCTACAAGGCCCTTGACTCCCCTCTTCACTGTGGGACTTTTGGTTGTGCCAGTTCCTTAGCTGCCACCATGGGGCTCCCTCCTGGAGCCTGTCCTGAGGGCTGGGACCTTCTGAAGGCCTTTATCAAAGAGGCACCGTTCTGGAGTCACCACTGAAAATCGCAGCCATCACTGAGAAGGTTTCTGGACCACCAGACACACTGGGGGAAGGAGACGACTCCCTTCCCTCGACCCCAAGAGGCGCCCTCCGCAACCACAGCTTCCCCTGCTCTTCCTCTCGCATTCGACTAAAGATAGCCAGGGGCACATGTGTGTCTGTCCCTCTCTTGGCCTTGCCCTCTGCGCCCCTCCACCCACCTCCCAGTTTGCTTCCTCAGGAAAACCCAAGGAGGAAATGGGCGGGAGAAGCAGCGCAGGAAGGAGGCGGCCCAGGAGTGGTGGCCACAGCAGCCGACCGGGCAGTCAGCCTAGTGGGACTCCCTAAGGAGGAGGATGGAGCGCTGGGCCCTGCCGCTCTTCCTCTGCCTCCAGGCGCTGGGCTTGGGGGACGGGAGCAGCAGCCCTGACCTGGACCCCAGTGGGAGAAACGTCTGCAGGTCCAGCAGGTAGGAGACCCCCCCAGTGGAGGGTGGAGGAGGGTCCCTCGCTTCCAGGCTGGGAAAGTCAGGCGAGTCCAAGTCCAACTTGCTTAGCATGGCTTTCTCTGAGTGGCTGTGGCTCTCTAGGCTCTCTAGGATGCAGGCAGAGAAGGGCCTCCCCCCCCATCACTGCCCACCTGGGATCCTTTTGAACTGGAGGTGCCATGGGGGTGCCTGAACCTGGGACTGACCTTCTGCATGCAAAGCAAGGGTTCTTTCCTTGCCTCCATAGTATAGGGAGTTGCCATCTGCCAAGTTGGACCTTTGCTCCATCTAGCCTAGTACTGGCAGCTCTGACTGGCAGCAGCTCCTCAGGGTCTCAGGCTACTCGCTGGCTTTCCCCCATCACTGGCCCCCTGGTCCCCTTTTAAAAGCAGGGAGCCTTAAGTCAGGGGCAGTCAATCTTTTTATACCTACTGCTCCACTAATGCATCTTTCTTGATGGTAAAATTTCCTTACCGCCCCCCCAGTGCTCGATGGAAGGAGGATTCAGCTGGTGCCGTAGAACCCCCCACCGCCCACCTAGAATCCTGAAACGCCCACTACTGGGCGGTAGGGACCAGGCGGACAACCCCTGGCTTAAGGGTTCAGACATGCGTCCTTCTATTCTGCCGCTGAGCTACAACCCTTCCCTTGTATATGAGATTCTGTTCCTCGTGGTTCTGTGTAAAGGGACTGGATTTAAAAAGGAACACAGGATGTGGCCTTGGGCTGACCCAGCTTGCTATTGCCTACACTGACTGGCAGCTGCTCTCTGGTGTTTCGGACAGGGTCTCCCATCCTTTCCTGGAGAGGCTTCCCGGGACTGAGCCTGGGGCGTTCTGCATGCGGAACAGATGCTCTGTGTCACTGAGCTGTGGGGTGGGGGCAGAGTGTGTGGGCCCCATGCCGTGCCCTCTGCTTGAGGCGCATTTTCCACTTCTGAGTATCTCCCCCACCTCCACTATTGTGTTTTCGGTTTCCTGCCATTCATACTGAAGTCTATTTAAGTTTGGGACTGCTCTGTTCAAAGCGCAAGGAGGAAGAAACAAAACCACTTCTCTAGGGGCACATTCGTTCAGGGGCCGTGAGCCTTCCCCAGATGATGCTGAGGCTTCTGCTCCCATCCTCATCCCTGACCATTGACCCTGCTGGGACTGAGCTGGAAGTCAACAACAGCTGCCCCCCCCCTGCATTTAGGGTCACCCACAGAGCCAGCAAGGGACCTCTTGCAAAGTTTCCCCTGCCGATCGATAACTAAACTCAAAGTGGAGGGAGTGGAGCTCCCTTGGGTAATAAAGAATAATGGAACTGTAGAGATGGGAGGGACACCCAAGGGTCATCTAGTCCCACCCGCTGCAATATGCGATCTGTTTCCTTACTGGGCTCAGTAGGCCAAAGTGACCAGTCTGGAAACAGAGAAAGCTGAAAAGTGAACTTCAAAGACACCCCCTCTAAAAAAAAGGTGGGGGGGGGGAGAGGCAGGCCTGTTCTTACTGGCTGTGGAAGTTAATAATAATAATAATAATAATAATAATAATAATAATAATAATAATAAAAAAATATATTCGTACCCTGCCCATCTGCCTGGATTGCCCCAGCTACTCTGGGCAGCTTCCCGTTCATATGAAAACATAATAAAACATCACACATTAAAAAGCTTCCCTAAGCAGGGAAGGACGCTGGTGGCGCTGTGGATTAAAGCCTCAGCGCCTAGGACTTGCCGATCGAAAGGTCGGCGGTTCGAATCCCCGCGGTGGGGTGCGCTCCCGTTGCTCGGTCCCAGCGCCTGCCAACCTAGCAGTTCGAAAGCACCCCCGGGTGCAAGTAGATAAATAGGGACCGCTTACTAGCGGGAAGGTAAACGGCGTTTCCGTGTGGAGCTCTGGCTCGCCAGAGCAGCGATGTCATGCTGGCCACGTGACCCGGAGGTGTCTCCAGACAGCGCTGGCCCCCGGCCTCTTGAGTGAGATGGGCGCACAACCCTAGAGTCTGTCAAGACTGGCCCGTACGGGCAGGGGTACCTTTGCATTTACCTTTAAGCAGGGCTGCCTTCTAATGGTTACAAAAGTCTCCTTGACATCTGAAGGGAGGGTGTCCCACAGGGTGGGAGCCACCACCGAGAAGCCCTCGGAGCTGAATCTCAGTGTCCAGGCTGAACGAGGGGGGTGGAGACGCTCCTTCGCACCATCAAACTGCGGCTCTTCCTGGGTACTTTGGCCAGTGGAGGGTGGTGCTGCTGGGGGGGGGACCAGAGAGTGGGAGCCCCCTTCATTGTAGGGGGCTGGACTAGATGCCCCTTTGGGCACCTCCCAACTCTGCAATTCTATGACTCTCCAAACTGCAGCCCAGCCTTTTCGTTTGCCGTTTGTCTGTCTTTCTGTCCCCCCCCGCCACCAGCCCCCTGCCAGTCTTCACCTGCTGCCCAGGATGGAAACAGGAGGGCCAGGAGTGCCCAGCTGGTGAGCATGCCCACCTTCCCCTTTCGGTTCTCATTGCCCGAGAATGCGGGCTTGTCTGAACGCCTCCTTCTGTCTTCTTCCTGCCGTGGCCAGCACTCTGCACGGGAGCAGACGCCTGCCGGGAGGGGGAAGTCTGTGTCCGCCCGGGGGTTTGCCGCTGCCGGCCTGGATTCTTTGGGGCCAACTGCATTGCACGTGAGTACTGGCTTCAGGGTGAGGTGGGGGGGGGGAGGCACAGGTGGACAGAGTGGGAGGGGGCTGGGAGATTCTTAAGGGACAGACAGACGGACCATCTGGTCCGCGAGGGCAAATGGGGCTCTGCCCCAGCCACCTCAGCCAACCCCCACCTGCCTGCCTTCTGAATGGCAACCAACCCAGGGGTGGGCTCTGCCTCTCATTGGCTCTCTGGCGCCACCTACTGCTAGGCTCCCTGCCTCCTGCCCACTGGGGCTCCCACACAGTGGACAAGTGCAGGCAGTACTGTACTACGCTATAATAATAATAGTAATATAATTTTTATTTATACCCTGCCCTCCCCAGCCAAGGCCGGGCTCAGGGCGGCTAACAAGCAATAATAAAAACAAGTTGAATGAATACAACTTAAAAACAGGATTAAAATACAGCATTAAAATATTGAAACATTAAAATATTAAAATGCAGCCTCATCACAGGAGGAAAAGGGGAAAAAAAGAGAGGGAGGGAGGGAATCAAATTGGCTCCAAGCCAAAGGCCAGGCGGAACAACTCTGTCTTGCAGGCCCTGCAGAAAGAAATCAGATCCTGCAGGGCCCTGGTCTCATGAGGCAGAGCGTTCCACCAGGCCGGAGCCAGAGTTGAAAAGGCCCTGGCTCTGGTTGAAGCCAATCTAACTTCCTTAGGGCCCGGGACCTCTAGGGTGTTGTTATTTATGGACCTTGAGGCTCTCTGTGGGGCATACCAGGAGAGGCGGTCCCGTAGGTACGAGGGTCCTAGGCCGTGAAGGGCTTGAAAGGTCAAAAGCAGCACCTTAAATCTGACCCTGTACTCCACCGGGAGCCAGTGCAGCTGGTAAAGCACTGGGTGAATATGCTCCCATGGCAGAGACCCCGTGAGGAGCCTCGCTGCAGCATTCTGCACCCGCTGGAGTTTCTGGGACAGCTTCAAGGGCAGCCCCGCGTAGAGCAAATTACAGTAGTCAAGCCTGGAGGTGACCGTCGCATGGATCACTGTGGCCAGGTCGGGGCGGGAAAGGTAAGGGACCAACTGCTTGATGCGGCAAAGGTGGAAAAATGTCGCCTTAGCTGTTGCTGTAACTTGTGCCTCCATGGAAAGGGAGGTGTCAAGGATTACACCCAAACTCTTAACGGAAGGCAATGGCACTAATTGGGCCCCCGCAAGAGAAGGGAGTTGGTCCCTCATCCCCATGCCATTCCGACCCAGCCAGAGGACCTCTGTCTTCGAAGGATTTCGTTTCAATCGGCTCCCACGAAACCATCCAGCCACAGCTAGACAAAACAATGGCAGCTTCCAAGTTCCCATGTCAACCCTTGATTCAGAAGCATGAGGACTAGAACCCTCTTTTATTTTAATGGGGAGAGACACAGCTCTATGGCAGAGGGAAGAGTCCTGGCCTGAAACCCTGGAGAGTTGCTGCTGCCAGTCAGTGCAGGGAATGCTGAGCAAGGCAGCTTCTTCACCACCTGCCCTTCCCTTCCAGGCTGCCCAGACCAGTACTGGGGTCCGGACTGCAAAGAGAGCTGCGCTTGCCACCCCAATGGGAAGTGCGACCCGGCCAACGGAGAGTGCCGCTGCCACCCTGGGTGGTGGGGCCCCCTCTGCCAGTCCGTGTGCCCGTGTGGCCCCAGAGGCCGCTGCGACCCCCTCACCGGGGTCTGCCATTGCGAGCCAGGCTGGTGGGCGCCCGACTGCAGGCGCCAGTGCCCTTGCAACCTCTCCGGCTCCCGCTGCGACCCCGTGACGGGCCGCTGCCTCTGCCACCGGGGCTGGTGGGGCAGGAGGTGCTCCTCGCGCTGCAGCTGCAACGGCTCCCCCTGTGCCCAGGAGACCGGCCGGTGCGAATGCCGCGCAGGACAGTGGGGGGCGGCCTGCCAGGCCAGCTGCCAGTGCCTGCACGGGACCTGCGCCCCACAGGACGGGCGGTGCACCTGCCACGCCGGCTACCAGGGCGACAGCTGCAAGGACCCCTGCCCTGCTGGGAAATACGGGCTTCAGTGCATGCAAAGGTAAGCTGGCGGAAAGCTGCCCTGATATATTTCTGGGAGACGGCGGTATATAAATATTTCTATGAATACGTGCAACTTGGGGTTTCTGGCTAGGGCTGAGACTGGCCCCACACGACACTAGCCATGGCGGGGGGGGCAGGGTCCAGTATACCTGAAGGAGCGTCTCCACCCCCATCGTTCTGCCCGGACACTGAGGTCCAGCGCCGAGGGTCTTCTGGCGGTTCCCTCACTGCGAGAAGCCAAGTTACAGGGAACCAGACAGAGGGCCTTCTTGGTGGTGGCGCCCGCCCTGTGGAACGCCCTCCCACCAGATGTCAAAGAGAACAACTACCACCAGACTTTTAGAAGACATCTGAAGGCAGCCCTGTTTAGGGAAGCTTTTAATGTTTGATGTATCACAGTATTTTAATACTTTATTGGAAGCCGCCGAGGGTGGCTGGGGAGACCCAGCCAGATGGGTGGGGTATAAATAATGAATTTATTATTGTTGTTGTTGTTGTTGTTGTTATTATTATTATTATTATTATTATTATTATATTGGGGAAGCCCTTCTCCTGGGCACCCACTTCCTCTCTTCCACATCCTGCCTCTCCCCACAGCTGCGGCCACTGCCAGGACCTCAAGGCCTGCTTTCCCGTGGACGGATCGTGCCCAGCCTGTGACCCGGGCTGGAACGGGACCCACTGCAAGCAGCCATGCCCACCGGGGCACCATGGGGAGAACTGTGCCCTGCTTTGCCCTCCCGGCTGCCGGCAAGGAGAGAGCTGCCACCCAGAGACGGGGGAATGCCAGAGCTGCAAAGCAGGCCTCACAGGTGCCAGGTGGGAGCATGCGGGGGCCGGTCGGGTGTGGGAAGTGGCCCTGACCTGCCTGGAGTGTGGGGAGGGCAGCTGGGGAAGGAGAGGGGCTCCATGGGGCTGGTGCAGGCCCTGCTCAACGACATGGGGGGAGGGCAAGCCAGAGCGGTGGAAGCTGCTCAGAGGGGCGACCCCCCTTCTTCACAGGCTCTGGCGCCACCTACTGCTCGGCTCCCTGCCTCCCGCCCTACGGGCATCAGCTGCCACTAGTTTGTGGGTGGGTGCCTTAGATGCCCTTGGAAACTCAACCCCAGACCTTCTGCACACCACGTCAGCTGTCCTGCTGCTGAGCCCCTTGCCTGCCTCCTCCCCTGCAGGTGTGAGCTCTCCTGCCCAGAGGGCTTATTTGGAGATGGATGCCGGTTTGCCTGCCCAGACTGCTTCAACGGGAGCTGCGACCCGGCCTCTGGGGCCTGCGTGTGCCAGGCTGGGTTCTGGGGCACCAGGTAAAGTGGGGGGGGGGGGCTTGTGGAACAAGAGATGTGGGCTTCCCCCTCCCAGCGGCTGCTGCAGCTTGGCCACTTCCTGCTCCTCTCTCTCCCTTTGCAGCTGCAACTGGACCTGCCCTGAAGGGTCTCATGGCCCCAACTGTTCGGAGCCCTGCCAGTGTGGGGGGCACCTGTGCCACCCTGTCACCGGGGACTGCCAGTGGAGTAAGTCACTAAGGGCACAAAGGGAGCACAGAAGCAGCAGCAGCTGAGTCAGGCCAAAGGGGGACCCCATCAAAGACTTTCTTGGTCCCCAAATACCCTAAAGAACCCAGGAATCTAAGGACCTGGAGGCCCCATAAGAACATGAGCACCCTCTTCTCACAATGGCCAACCTGATGCCTCAAGCCTGGAAAGGGTTTAAATTTGCAGAAAAGGGAACGTCCTTCCTTACTAAACCACCCCCCCCCTTCTAGGACTGTATAACCAAAACAACCTTTAGACCAATGCAGGCATTATGGCCTCAGTACCAATTCACCCCGCTTGATAATCCAGCTTGAGGAAGAGTTCTGGTGGGGGCTCACTAATTGGTGATGTTTTAGTTGCTCTTAATAATAAAGGGACTTCTGGATTTTTTTGGTGGCAATTTGATGCTTTGCCTTGCATGCAAGTGTCACATATCTCTGCCACTGAACATGGGGAGAGCCAGGATCTCGAGGGACCAGGCCAAAAGGGGCCGATCAGAGGCCCGCAAGGCAGGACTGAGTGCGGCAGAGTCACTCTCCCCACCTGCAGTTACAAGCAACTGGCCTCTGATAGGGGAGACAGAACATAGAATCACAGGACCGTAGTTGGAAAGAATCGCCTTGTCCCTGAGAATCGCCTTGTCCGACCCCCTGCAGTGCAGGACTATGCAGCTGTCCCATCCAGGGACCCAGCCTTGGTGTTTTCAGCCCCACACTCTTAACAACTGAGCTATACAGGACCACGCTTAGCTTATTTATTTTGCATGCAGGGGATTGGCAAAAGGTGCACCAGGATATGGCCCCTGATGGCCTTGCTCTGAGCAAAGCAGCACTGCTGCTGCACCCACTGAGCAAGGCAGTCAGAGGTGGGGGTGGGGGTGGCTTGGAGTGTTGGACTCGGACCTGTGAGAGGCCAGGGTTCAAATTCCCCCCCCCCCCGGCCATCAGGATGCTCACTGAGGTGGCCTTGATCTAGTTGCCACCCCTCTCAGCCAACCTCACAGGGTTGTTGTGGAAATAAAAGGGGGAGGGTGGAGGAGAACCAGGTGTGGCACTTTGAGCTCCCTGCAGGAAAGGGGGAGTGCTTTATATATGCCACCCCTGCTTTCCAGCACGGCCAGGCCTTGCTTCTGTCATCATCTAGGAGGTGGGGGCTTCTTGCCTTCCTCTCTCTGACCTCTCTGTCTCCCCCAAAAGGACAGAACCAGGCAGCCCTCTTAGCAGGAATCCTGACCCCTTTGGTTCTCCTCGTCCTCCTCTGTATGTGTTGCTGCTGCTGCTGCTGCCGCTCTGAGTCCACCCCGATGGATGTCAGGTACTGATACAAGGCTGTGGGGAGAACCCAGACACTCTGTTTAGCAACAGCCAGGTGCCAGGTGCTGTATACAACCTCTGCCTGGGGCGCTGAGACTGTTTGGCAATGGAAATTGCCAGGGTGGGGGTGGGTGGAGTGGCGGGGGCAGTCTTGAGAAACAGTTAAGCCAGCCTTGGACTTAGAATAATGTGGACTAGAAACATGCTTTGTTTTCAAAGGAAGGCCACTTATGCGAAGGGTCCCAGTGGCACCTCCAGCTTAGAAGGTCCAGGTGTCCGGCGAAAAGACCCTTCTCTGCCAGGGATTCTGGAGAGCTGCCAGTCAGAGCAGGCAATATTCGTCTTCTAGGAGTGCAAGGCAGCTGTCTGTGCTTTAAGACAAGGCCCACAGTTCAGTGGGGCAGAGCGCCTGCTGTGCATGCAGAAGGCTCAGTTCCAATGGCCCCTCCAAGCAGGGCTGAGAGATGCCCTTGTATGATCCCTGGAGAGCCGCTGCTCTCATTAGAGATCCAGAGGAGATCTGCCATACTGATTTCTGAAGTGCCGGTGGTATCTGGTCCTGTGAGCATCTGGTCCTGTGAGCCAGAGCCCACGGACAGGCTGACCACCTCGGAGACTGAGAACTGGGTCAGAAACCACACCTGGAGCTGGAAAAGGAGCTGCTGAGTGTCTTTTCTCCAGCTGTGCACCAGGAGAGGGGGCCCCACCTGTGCACAGGAAATGGTGTGTGGGGGGGGAAGGCCTTTGCCCCTGCTTGTCCCTTGCACAATGCCCAACACCCTCCTTGTGTGAAACTGGCGCCTCTTTGCTCCCTCCCCAGGTCGGCAGCTGCGGAGGGAGATCCCATCTCCCGCGTGAAGCACCACGTTCTGGGGACGTTGGCCAACCTCAGCCCCGCCTTGCCCTGCTTCTCCTTGGGGGGCTACAAGCTCCCACGCGTGACAGGTGAGATGTAGCCGGGGGCGGCTGCTGCTGCCTTGTGACCGGCTTCGTCCGGCTTCTTGGCCTCCTGGTGCCCCTTGGAAGTAAGAAAGGGTCATACGGGACAGGACAGCTGCTTTGCATGCAGAAGGTCCTGGGTTCAATCCCTGTCAGTGTAGCCAGGTGAGGATGATGGGAACGTCCCCTGCCTGAAACTCTGGAGAGCAGCTGCCAGCCAGCATTCTTCAATCTGGAGTCTCAAGAAGCTGCTGGACTACAAAACCCATCATCCTTGGCTAAGCTACCTGTGGATGATGGGAGTTGTAGTCCCAATGGAGGACCAAAGGTGAACAGCACTGGTGAAGGCAATACTGAGCCAAGTGTATACTTAGTAGAAGGCAACTTGACAGTGGAGAGCTCCCTCCCACTTGCTGTCCTAAGAGCAGGGGCAGGTGGGCCTGAGCTGAGCTACTGCAGAGCAATGGCACCCCCCCCCCAAGATCTGTGGGGCAACAAAGCCTGGGAAGGAGAATGGATGGGTGCTGAGCAAAGGCCTGTGGTTTAGAGATCCAGGATCTGGGAACCTTCCTGTTCTTGCTCTAAACTCTCGTTAACTTATTATTTATTTCATAAAATTTATACCCCGCTTGAGATTAACCCTCAAAGTGGTTTACTAAAAGGATAAAACAATAAAATTATCAATGCACAACTTGAATTCAAATCTTTCTAAAAAGTTGTAATAACGATAGACTAAAAACAGGTTAAAAGTGGCACCAGCATTTCTAAGCATCTGGACAGGCTTTGCCTAAACAAAAATGCTTTTAGCAGGTGCCAGAAGCAGTACATCAAGTGGCAGGGAGTTCCAGAGTGCGGGTGCTGCCATACTAAAGGACCAAGTTGGGCGGCAGCTGTTAGTGATGCCAGTTCTGCAGATGAAAACTCTTGCACTCCCCTTCCCCTTCCTGGGGTTTCTTTCTCTCTCCCTCTCTCCCCCCCCCACCCTCGCTCTGGGCAGTCTCCCACCATGACGCCGAGATCCCCTTCAACCCCAGCTTCATTGAGCCCCCGTCAGCTGCCTGGCCTTCGGACAGCTCCTTCTCCTCCTCCTTCGACACAGACGACGACCAGGAGGACCCAGCCTCCCCTGCCCAGGAAGGTAGGGCTGTGGGTCTTGCTCCCTTCTTCCCATTGGCCTCCCTAGAAGGCTGGTGAGGTGGGGGGGCGGGCACAGGGTGCCACAGTTCAGTTGCCAAGACCCCGGCTACTGAGTCACACGCTCAGCCACAGTGAAATGGTCTCCAGCAGTGGGTGGGAAACCTTTGCTGGCCCAGAAGGGGACATTTGGATTTTTGAGGGAGGGGGCCACCCCTCTAAATCGCCTCCCTGACCCCCAGGTCAAACCCCCCCCCAAAGCAAAGGCACACACACAAACGTAAACATTGATCTTACAAGGGATCTGGATATTGGCCTGCAAGACACAGCTGTTCCCCCAGGCCTTTGGCCAAGGCACAGCCTGACCCCCTCCTTTGGTAATCCTCACAGAACTCTAGCCCAATGGTTGCCATTAATTTGATTTGAACTGATTTTATAATGAAATGATTTTAGAATGTTGTATTATTTTACTGTTGTTAGCCGCTCTGAGCCCAGCTTCGGCTGAGGAGGGCGGGATATAAACAAAATATTATTATTATTTATTATTATTAAAAGCTGAGCCCTTCTCCCCCTCCTCTGCCTGAGCCCAGGGCTTTTCTCCAGCTGGAACTCACCGGAACTCAGTCCCAGCTCCTCTCAGGTGGGGGCCATTGCCATTCTAAGAGCACATCCACGGTGATTTCCAGCACCCCTTTTCCTAGAAAAATAAACTGCCCACGCCCCTTTCTTTCAGCGGCCGGTGCTGAGCACCAGCCAGGATTCCTCCCGGAGGAGCCAGCCTTGAACTCGGAGCCCTTCACCATCCCCCGCACCTCCAGCATTGCCAAGGCCAAGCGCCCCTCCGTCTCCTTCGCAGAAGGTACCCGCTTCATCTCTCAGAGCCCCAGAGGCTCCACGGAGGCCCTGAACCCCACCTGGAAGGCCAAGGCCCCGTGGGGCTCAGCCCGAGCCACCTCCCTGCAGCAGCCCACAGCGGACCCTGCTGGGCAGGAGGGCCTCCCTGCCATGGGCGATTCTCCGGGGGGATGCTACGAGAACGTGGAGGCCGGTGGCAGGGAGGAAGGGAGCCACAGACCCTGCTGCTCCTCCTCCTCCTCCTCCACGCAGAGGAGCAGCTCCGGGAGCCACAGGAAGCGGGGGAACAGCTCCCGGCACGTGGCCCAAAGAGTGGAAGCCCTGGAGGCTGCCTCCAAAGCACAGACCAAGGGCCCCAGCGTCACCACCATCTATGTGACCGTGGGCAAGGCGGGGGGCGAGGGGCCGGTGCAAGCTGTCCTGCAGCGCCTGGGGAGCCTGCAGAGGGCCAAGCAGCTGCCCAGGGAGGAGGTGCAGCAGCGGCCAAGGAGAAGGAGTCTGGAGGGCCTCCTCCAGAAGCCGCCACGGAGGAGAGGGCTGCTGGACTCCGAGGGGGACACCGGGAGGCTGCTGCCCCAAGGTGGGACCGGCCAGGAGGCTGCCACCATGCTCTGTGCTGAAGCCAGCACCCCGGAGGAGGAGGCTGAGGCCCAGGGCTTTCCCAGGGGGCCAGGAGCTCCTGCTGGTGGAGAGAGCAGCGGCAGCGGCAGCAGTGAGTCACCCAGCAGCCACAGCCAGACTGAGGCGGCGGCTGGAGGAGGGAGAGGAGGCCCCTTGCTGGAGAAGGAGGAGCAGGAGCCAAAGTATGAGAATGTCTCCGGGTGGTCTAGCTCTCCGTAGGCACCTAGAACCTACCCCACCCCCAAGAACCTTCACGGAAGCCACTTGGAGGAGAGCCAGCCATGTAAAAGGCCATGTCCATTGGTGGGGCCGGGAAAGAGGCCCGTGGCTCCACTGGACGCTCCTTTCCTGCATCCGGCAGAAATCTGCCATATGGCAACTTGAACAAGGGGCCAGGCGAGTCCAAGGAGCTGATTCTCAAGTACCAGCTTTGGAATGAACTTCTGCATATCTGCTTGTCTGTTTTAATTTGCAGGCCTTGTGTGGCTTTGTTGTATTGGGTTGCCGTGCGGTTTTATAATATTGAACTTTCTTGGTAAGCAGCCTTGCAGTCAATTTGGTGAAAGGCTGATTTAAAATAACACAGATAAAAGGAGTGGCACGTGCATGCACATCCCTTTGCGCCAATCCCTGGTTTTTATCCTGAGTTCTTCACAGGCTAACAACAGCTAGAAACTCCCCCTGGGACCTTGCTCTCCACTATCACACACCTAAAGTGGCTGGGAAGCCCCTCCGGCTCACCTGCAGTATCTTCAGTCACTCAGGAAGTGCTTACCTTTGCGAAGAGCCCCTGCACAGACATCCTTTGTCCTCCTGAACTCTGAATTCTCCCAGAACTGACCTCTATGAAGCTGAGCCAAGTTTCTTCATGTCCTTAATACACGGAGAATACCGGATCTCTCCTGATCTCCCTGGTGGGGAATGTTTACGCTTCCCTGACAGAGAATATTCTGAGCGTCATGACGCCAGTTTTGGTGTGGATGCTCCGCAGGCCTGGATGGGACCACTGTGAGGAAGATGAGCAGGGGATGTACCTAGAATCAAAACCAGATTATTACTATTATTGATTAGTATTATATTATTTCCACTTAAAGAGATTTATTAGCTGCTCTGCAGCTGGAACCCTGACAGCAGCATACAAGGAGTCAAAAGCAAATGTAAAAACAGGATAGTATAATACACAGCCCAACAGTAAAACTGGGCAGTGATGAATTTCAGTCGTAAAAATGTAAAACTAACAAGTTTTAAAAGACTGAGGTGAACAAACAGACATATTTTCAGCTGGTTCCAAGAGCAAAAGCAAAGTGGAGGGGGGGCAAGACTAAGAAAACCCTTTCTTATGTCACCGCCTGCCTTAAACCTGGGGGGTGGGGAGTGGGGTCTCAAAAAGAGCCTCAGGCACAATAATATCAGTTCAAGTATCCTGGCCACCTATGCCGATAGTGCTTTGAAATGCAAAAGCGGCACTTTGAGTTGCACTCATGACTGGTCCAAGAGTCAGCACAATTGTGTAAAAGAGATGCCGTCATGCCCAGTCCCAGTCCCAGTTACAAAACACTGCTGCATTTTGCTCTGATTGTAAAGCACTCTCCCAAAATATTTACAGAGCAAGGATAGCTGTGGCCACAAGGGGGTGCTGCTGCCACTGGCAACAGACCAGCCTCACCTGGCACAGGGTGCTCCAGATTAGGCACCCAATAGCACCCTCCACCCCCACAAAGTCTACTAATTTGGGGAAGTGTGACACCACCCAGATCATGCTGGACACCGCCTCCCATCCCAGAGGAACCGCCTGCCCACAGCACCACTGCCTTGACTTCTGTGCCTTCTTTGGCGATCCCTCGTAGCCAAATAAGATTGACTTCCATAAACACGGTCTTAACAGTGAGTCCGTAAGTGACTGTGGAGGCCAATTCTGGACCCACACATCCTTCCACAGTGGGGACAGTGGTTTCTGGGCGGGAGTTGATCATGGTGTGGATTTGCCAAGTGTGCCTTCCTCTTAGCACGTATCTCCCTGGCATCCTGAGTTTGAGTCTTCAAATCTCGTGACACCTTTGGTAGAGGCTGTTCTCCAATTGGAGCGTTTCCATGCCAATGTTTCCCAATTGTTGGTGTTTATACTATTTTTTAAGATTTGCCTCCAGAGAGTCTTTAAACCTCTTTTGTTGTCCCGGTATTTCTCTTTCCATTCTTAAGTTGGGAATAGAGTAGTTGCTTTGGAAGACGATAATCAGGCATCCGAACAACATGACCAGTCCAAGGAAGTTGATGGTGAAGAATCATTGCTTTGACATGGGTGATCTTTGCTTCTTCCAGTACACTGACATTAGATCATCTGTCTTCCCAGGTGATGTGTAAATTTTTTTGGAGACACTGTTGATGGAATCTTTTGAGGAGTTGGAAATGGCGTTTATAAGTGGTCCATGTTTCACAAGTGTACAGTAAAGATGGCAGTACTAACATGTCAAGACGGAGCTGGAGCATCATACATGAGCCTTGAAGGCAAGACCTTGTGCCTGGAGCCAGCCTGCAAGTTGGCTGTGCAGAGATGCTTCACCCCAGAAACTCCTTGCAGTGCCCCGAGACGAAGAGTGGAGGACAGTTTGCCAATTAGGTTGGTTCACCTGTCACTGCAAAGGATGTTTCCGAGTGTCAGGCAAGGCCTTCATCCCCAACTCTTCCCATTTGTGCAAAGGGAAAAATTAAAGCAATAATTTATATGCCACCCATCTGACTGGGTTGTCCCAGCCACTCTGAAAGACTTCCTCCCACTTTTCCTCCTGGCTGCTGAACAGCCTGCCCATCTCTGCTAAAACTACCAGGAGTTCTTTGGCAGGCAGGACCCCTTGTCTGTGGGCTGAGCTACTCTTTCTGCCTCGTGAGCCCCAATGGCCACCCCAGCAGCTTGGAGGGCAGGCCCTTCAGGCTCATGCCAACCAGAGCTTGGCATGGAGGTGGGCAGGGAGGACACCAAACCCAGAGGCCCAGCCCCACTCCTTGCATAAGCACAAACTATGGTTGGGGGGCAAGGAGGGACCGCACCTTTGCAGCCTTTCCAGGGGACACTCAAAGAGCATCGTTTCTTCGCCTCCAGGCGCAGGAATCCTGGGAGCAGAGCAGCCCAGTCACACGACGCTGGACGTCAGGCAGGGCTGGCTCAGAAGTTGGGGAGGGGGGTCTTCTCTGTGGCAGCCCCCAAGTGCTGGACCCCACCCCATCATCCAGCTGAAGCCGTCCGTCTTTCCCCTGCCCTCTGAGGTGCGTTTCCAGCCCCCTGCATTCATAGAGTTGGAAGGATCCCAAGGGTCATCCAGTCCACCCCCTGCGACTCCTCTTGTGGGAATCCGATTTCACTCTTGGATGAGGCTGGGTAATAAATGCAACGACATTGCTAATAATAATAACAACCATAAGGAAACAATCCCGCCCTGGGTGGCCTGGGGGGGGGGAGCCGTGGCCGCTGCCCCCATCTGCTCCTCAGGGCAGGAGAGGGCCAGGGCTCCCCCAGGCAGGGCGGCCAAGGGGGAGACGCTGCCCGGGAGCCCCGCCGCCCTTTCCTTCGGACCGAGGGAGGGACGGAGGGAGCCGCCACCGGGGCGCCCGCGGGCGGCGCGACGAACCTCAAGTCCTGGCCCTCCGCGGCTGCGCCGCTTCGCCTTTCCTTCCTCCTCCGCGACGTGCGCGGCTCTCGCCGCATCCTCCTCCCCGAGAGGCACCTGCTGCGGGCGGGAGGGGACCCCGCGCCCCCGACTCGCCGCCCCTCGCCGGCAGCCAGGTGAGTCCCGGGCGGGCGGAGGGCCGGGGCCTGGCGGCGAGGGAGGCCGGCTTCTTCCCCCGGGAGAGCCACTCTGCGCCCGGCCAGAGGCACCCTTGTCCCGCGGGTTCGCCCGCGGCGAGTAGCGGAGCCAGCTCCCCGTCGCCGGGCGGGCGCGGCCTGATTGGTCCCCGGCCTGTTTCTAGCTGCGCCGCCGCCAATCAGCGCCCCGCCTTGCTTTGCTCCTCCGGCCGCATAAAAGGCGCCGAGCCGCTGCCGGCCCGGCCCAGGAAAGCAGCGGCGGCGGCGGCGGAGCAGCAGGAGCCGCGCCGGGCAGGTGAGCGAGCCGCGGGAGGCCGGCTGCGCCCGGGGACGCGGAGGGGCGCTCTGCTCCTGGGGATCCCGCGCGAGTCCGTCCTCCTCGGGACCCCGGAGCCCCCTCGCCGCGCTCTCCCCATCTCGCTTAGGGATGAGGAGGGACCCCCGCCCCGGACTCGACTCCCAGGCTGGGGACCCGGGGGGGCGCTGGGGGGGTGGTCCCTGCCCTAAGCAGCGTCTCTTGGGGGGTGTCCTGCTGGAATGGGGGTGCCCCCTTGTTTGCTAATGGGGAGGAGAGAGGAGCCTTGCCGAGCATCTCTGTGGGCGGGGGGGGCATCGGGGTCCTTTCCGGGCGCCCCCCAAGCAGGACGCGAAGGCAGCAGCCTTCCCCTAATCTTCAGAGGTCCACTGCCTTAGCACATGGAGGCTTTACTTCGTTATCCTGACTGATTGCGCTCGATACATCTAGTTTCTATCGAATTCATCTTATCTTGGCAGCTATTGCCGCATCTTGTGATGGTGAGTTCCACAGTCTTTGTATGCTGTGTGTGAAGAAGTCCCTTCTCTTGGGTTGTCCTAATCTCCTGCTCTTCTACCTTCATTGTGTGGCCCCTGAGGGAGGGGAAACTTTTATCTCTCCACACCAGGAATAATCTTGCACACCTCTGTGATCTCTCTTCTTATCTTTTCTCTAAACTAAAAAGACCCAAAAGCAGCCTTGCCTCATAGGGGAGTCTGTCCATTCCCTGGATCAGTTGGGCGGCACGCTTATGAACCTTTTCCAACTCTGCAATTTCTTTTCTTTCTCTTTCTTTCTTTTCTTTCTTTCTTTCTTTCTAGCTTCCAGATCTGTGCAGCTGCACCACAGATTTATGCAAAGGCATCATGAGTCAAGGCCAGTTCTCTCTGCCTTGCCTAATAATTTCCCGTTTTTAACTGCAGCTCTTTTCCTCTGCTCCTAAATAGTTGTCTCCGGGTGCAGTTTGGATTGGGGCCATTTTGCTGTGTGGGGTGGGGTTTAACCCCTAGCTGTGCAATTGGGTAATTTTAGACTCCTATCTTCACGGTCTTATGGGAGCCCCCCACAATTTAGGAAGCACCATGCACCACTTACCTCAGAATTAGGATGGGGGCTCTATTCTGCTGACTGGGCTTTGGGTTCCCAGTGCCCCACTGACTAACCCTTCCCACACTTTAAACCACCCACCTCCTTTGCTCCACAAGCTTCTATTAGCTGTGGAGAGGTGCTCTGGATATTTCTTGAATGACCACAGCCAGTTCATACCCCATCAGAAGATAGATAGATAAACTTTATTCGCATTAGCCAACGGCCATAGCAACATAAAACAAGCAATATATCCAATTAAAAAGACAACAATGGGTAAAAAGGGCATTCAAAGGACCAAGATTATCGTTCAGATAGTGGCCTATCAGAATTTCATCCCACCACCCAATAAACGTGCACCACAGAAAACCACACTTGTATTTGAAAGTCCATTTTGGAAAGATCCTTCTGGAAATCCTTGGAAATTCCTCTTTCGCTTTTAACCACCCTAGATAATTTGGTACCATCAGCAGACTTGGCCACCTCCCTGTTCACCCCAACTCCTGGTCGCATGTTAAAAAGCACAACTCCCCATATTGGGTGGAAGAAAATCTCTGCCTGCCTCCAGGGGCTCCTTTTCCATTGTTTTTACCCCTGTATTCAGAAGTTGGTTTAGCACCGCTTTCAAAACTATTTTTACCTGTTTCTGTGATGTGTTTGTAAACTGTCTTGAAATGCATGTAAAAGTCAACTGACTTTTTAATTATAATTAAATAACAGTGATCCTTGGAGGACACCCCCCCTGGCTTTCTTCCCCCTTCCATTGTGAGAACTCCCCATTTATTATTCCCTCCCGTTGTTTATCTGGAAGAGGAACCTTCCTCTTAATCCTATCACTGCTGAGTTTACTTTGTGGAGATGTTTTGGGAAGTCCAGGGGT